GCCATGGGTGGATCAATAAGACAAACGTCAGCCCCAATGAGGCTTCCCCTCTCTCCCCAAGTAGCCTCACTTTGACTCCCCCACCCCAGATACAACATAAGAACATAAGAGAAGCCAATGTTGGATCAAGCCAATGGCCCATCCAGTCCAACACTCCGTCACACATGTCAGCCCCAATGAGGCTTCCCCTCTCTCCCCAAGTAGCCTCACTTTGACTCCCCCACCCCAGATACAACATAAGAACATAAGAGAAGCCAATGTTGGATCAAGCCAATGGCCCATCCAGTCCAACACTCCGTCACACAGTGGCCAAAAATACCAGGAATCGTCTCCCATTTGGACTAGCAAAAGATCCATCCTCTGAAGGTCGTACAATATATTCCTTAAAGTCGTCATCAGACCGCATACTATGGATGATAGAGTGAAAAGGCTGCTTGCAGAGTGGGCATTCTGCTTTGTTTTTGGACCACTCCTGCACACATCGGAAGCAGAAACTGTGGTAACAACAGTTCAAGTAGGCCACATTTTCAAATCCGTCCAAGCATATGGGACATTTAGAGTCTGGAGATGTATCTGTTGCCATTGCCTGACGCGGCCTGTTTGTACCAGAATTTGGCGAAAAGCCATCTGATCCAAAGCCATCTGATGATGGTGCCATATTCTGCAAATGAAAAAGAAGTTATCATCAATGTATACTTGACTTCAACTGTTGCTGTTCAAAACCAGTGCTATTTTATCTTTTCTCTACAGCTAGAAAGATTACACAAGTGCCAGCTAATTTAAGTCACAAGTTCCACTCTGTACTGCCCCCCCCTCAGGAAAATATGCATGTCTGAATGGTTAAGGGTGCCATTCTCAGCATACTTGCTTGGTCACTAAGTTACACCAATATCAACAGAAATTTGACCAAACGGGCTTTTGACTAAGAGGGAAGTGATTTATGCTAGACATATTTGTTTAGAAGTAAACCTCTTAAACTCAGTGGAACTACTTCTGAGCAACTAGAAGTGGTGTTACAAGCATTTCTTTGAATTTTAGCAGCAAGCTTTGGCTGTCCAGTGAATATGCATTAAAAACTAGGGGATTTTCAGACATACTTGATCTATACCAAATTCCACCAGGGAGAGGGAGGGGAAGAAAGCAAGAGAGGGACTCGGATCCAGGCCTCGAGCGGCGGAGCAAGATGGACCGATCAATCACACACATGCCCCGAGCTCGCGCCGGCCTTCCCCGGGAGAAGCCGAGGCTCGAGGGGCGGAAAATGGGAAGAAGACAGCCGCCGACGCCGCGGAAAAGAGCCCGGATGACCCAAAGTTCTAACGATCACTCTCCCTCACAAACAAACGTCAACCACTCACCGGTTTAGATCGCTGGCGCCCATTGGAGCCAACGGCTCGGGGGCGCAGCTCCCTCGGTTCACACACTGACGTTCGCCAACCCACCGGACAATAACGACGGCTGCTGCCGTTTCTGCCCTACCCCGATCGAGCCGGATACAGAACCCATCGCGAAGAATGGCCTTCCGGGTTAGCAGGTTAAAAAACACCACACAACCCACCCGTATCACCATAGGCACATTTCCTCCGAAATCCAGCCCCTGGCAGTGACGTCAATCTCGCCGCCGCCATTAACGTGCTCAAATACAGAGCCTTCCCCCCCCCCTCAGTTTATAAAATGTCAGGGACTCGAGGAGGAGAAGCTCCTAGGGGGAGCAGCAGGAAAGTTCTGTGACTGGCATGATATACCCCAGAGTGGAATGGGGGTGGCAGGAGTGCTCTCGGACTGGAATGACAGGAGGGCCCACAGTGGAATAACAGCCCCTAGGGGAAGCAGATGTGTCCTGGGAGTGGAATGACGGCCCCTGGGGGTATTTAAAGAGATCTGCCCGATGGCGCCGGCCCCCCCCCCCCCAAAAAAAACCTTCCTTCCCCCC